AGAACTAGATAACCACATGTAAAAGACTGAAACTGGACATGTACCTCTCACCACTTATAAAAATTGATTCAGGATTGATAAAAGCTTTAAATATAAGGTGTGAAACACTAAAAATTCTCAAAGAAAGTGTGGGGAAAACTCTTGAAGATATTGGCCTGGGGGATGATTTTATAAAGAAGACTTCCCTGGCAATTGCAACAACAAAAATAAGCAAATGGGACTTAATTAAACTGAAAGCTTCTTTTTTTTTATGGTAGAGACAGAGTCTCACTTTATTGCCCTTAGTAGAGTGCCATGGCATCACACAGCTCACAGCAACCTCCAACTCCTGAGCTTAGGTGATTCTCTTGACTCAGCCTCCAGACTAGTTGAGACTACATGCACCCGCCTTAACACCCAGCTATTTTTTTGTTGCATTTTGACCAGGGCTGGGTTTGAACCTGCCACCCTCAGTATATGGAGCTGGCACCCTACTCACTGAGCCACAGGTACCGCCTAACTGAAAAGCTTCTGTACAGCTAAGGAAACAACAGCCAAAGCAAACAGACAACCTTCAAAATGGGAAAAGATATTTGCATATTATAAATTGGACACAACTTTGATAACTAGAATCTATGAAAAACTCAAATTAACTAACATAAAAAGAACCAACAATCCCATATATCCCTGGGAAAGAGACATGAATAGAACTTTCTCTAAAGAACATAGACAAATGGCTAAAAAAGTATGAAAAAGTGTTCATTGTCCCTAACCATCAGAGATATGAAGATCAAAACTATCCTGAGATTATCACCTGACCCCAATGAGAATGGCCCATATCACAAACTCTCAAAGCTTCAGATGCCTAGCATGGATGTGGAGAGAAGGGAATACTTCTACACTGCTGGTGGGACTGCAAACTAATACAACCTTTTTGGAAGAAAAAATAGAGAATCCTCAAAGAACTCATATTAGACCTCCCATTTGATCCTGCAATCCCATTACTAGGCATCAACCCAGAAGAAAAAAAGTACTTTTATCATAAGGACATTTGTGCTAGACTGTTTATTGCAGCTCAATTTGCAGTCACTAAAATGTGGTAATAGTCTAAATGCCCACCAGCCCATGAATGGATTAACAACCTATGGTATATGTATACCAGGGAATACTATTCAGCCACTAAAAGAGATGGAGACTTTACATCTTTTGTATTAATCTGGATAGAGGTGGAACACATTCTTCTCTGTAAACCATCATACTCTATTCTTATATGAAGTCAGTAGGTGAGCTAATATAAGGGGGTATTGGGGAATGAGCAAGTGAGCAGAGGGGAGGAAGGAGGGGGATTGGGGATTACAGTGTAAGGCACACCTCTTGGGAGTGGGACACGATTATAAGAGGGCTATCTAACAGATGCAATCAGTGTAACCTAATTCTTTGTACCCTCAATGAATCCCAAACAATAAAAATAAATAATAATAATAATAAAGAAATATCAGCCTCTTATTTTGTATAATTTATTAGATTTCAGTGACTCCAAAAACAAACATTACAGCTAACTACATGATATAAAAGCTCCTATGTACTTTCATGGCCTGTTTTATAATAAGTCGTATTTTATTGACTGAATTCAACTCTGTCAGACTAGGATCTGCTGAGTACCTGTGCAGTGACATTGACTTGGCAACAAGTGCGAGATAAACTGTAACAAGACCAGTTAGAAGAGGCGATATTTCAGGTTTTCATCTTAAAGTATAGGCACTCAGATAATTTTTAGTTTTTCCCACCATGTTGTCCTTTTAGATGTGATGCTCCATCCAGCGCTGCTACTTTCTAACTCAGCTCAGGGCCAGGGAAAATTGATTTTGAAATTTGCTGTATTCTCCTTCCATCACTCCCACCCAGCATTTTAGATGTCAGTATTTCTTCTGTTTACTTTATTTTTCTTAAGAAATGGATGTAAAATGCCAATGTACTCTATCGTACTTCTTTATTTTGAGGCCAGGGGAGCGTTGGGTTTCAATTCCTCTATCTTTCTGCACTAATAATCTGAGTAGCCATTTCATTTCCCCTCAGAGATAGCTGAGATACACACACACACACACACACACACACACACACACGAGGCTGACACGCATTACATACACATACACACTTTTTTTTTTTAATTTCAGGTTAATGTAACTGTACAAACAACTAGGTTACAATATCTGCATTTGTTTACATAGAGTCCCTCTTGTAGTTGTGTCCCACACCCCAAAAGTGTGCCATATACCCTTCCACTGTGCCCATTACCTGGGAGCACACCAATCCCCTCCCTCCTCTCCTCTTCCCCCTCTCACCCCTCCTCCCCCAATTTGGATTAAAATGAGTTTTTCCATATGCGGGCAACACACACACATTTTTAAGACCCCCTTTTTAGAAAACATGCTTTGAAAAAAGGGGGTATACCCCTAAAAGGAAAGAGCAGTAGCAGCAATTCATACATTCTTCCAGCCTGTCACTGTGACTCAACATTAGGAAAGTAATTGTGTAGATTTTTTTAAAACTTTTTAAATGTTTACATTCATATTTCTAACACATTTAAAGTATTACTGCTAAATAAATTTATTAGCAACTTCTAACAGCTGGTTAAATCATTACAGCTGAAATTTGAATTCACCACTTAGAATTATGAAAGTTTTATCTCATCTGGAGGGGAAAGCATATTATTTTTAAAAATCTGAATAGGAGATATAATGATATCACAGACTGCAAATCTGTGAAACTAGAATTCATAATACTTAAGAAATTAGTTGAACTAAAATTTTTTTGCAGACATAGTAACAGTAACAGTTACGCAGTAACAGACGTAGTAACATTTTCAAACAATGGGATTTACTATACTTGAGTTTTATGTGACTTAAACAATGATAATTATTGACATTTTAGATCATTCATTGTGACCAAACAGGTATGCATCTTCATAAGAAAAAAAGTCAAAGTCTTTTCTGGCTAAGACTTTCTGTGCAAACTTTATTCTTTGCTCATACCTTAAAATTTTTTCAAACTTTTCACATTGGTAAGATACTGTAACTAAATTATATATTATGACACTTTTAAACTATTGTCAAAAATAGTCCAAGGAAGTTATGAAGCTTCAGCATTCCTCAGAACACTTATCAGTTCTTTATTTATTTATTTTTAATTTTTTTTTTTTTGAGACAGATTCTTGCTATATCGCCCTTGGTAGAGTGCCATGGAGTCACAGCTTACAGCAACCTCCAGCTCTTGGGCTTATGTGATTCTCTTCCCTCAGCCTCCCAAGTAGGTGGGACTATAGGCTCCCGCCACAACCCCCACAAATATTACAGTTCATAATTTTTAATGACCTACTAACAAGGCGTCGGCATAGGGATGAAATGACAGTGCAGTTTGACACACTGCGTCTAACAGCTCATCATGTGACTTGAGTACAAGTAAAAGTAAAGTAATGCAGGCTGAGTACCCTTTATTTCAAATGCTTGAGACCGGAAGTGTTTTAGATTTCAAATGTTTTGGATTTGAGAATATTTGCATAGACACAAGTGGGATATCTTGGGAGTGGACCCAAGTCTAAACACAAAGTTTATTTATGTTTCCTATATCCCACATACACATAGCCTAAAGATAATTTTATTTTTCCCTAGGGGACATTGAATAAAACTGTGTGTCATGGGCCTGTGTGTTGTGTGTTGTGGGCCTACATTTTTGACAGCACATAGTTTCCCACTTGTGGCATCATGTCAAAAATGTCTGGATTTTAAAACTGCCTGGATTTGAAACCCTGTTCCACTACTTGCTAGCCGTGATCCTGGTCAAGGTGTATAACCTCTCTGTACTGCAGGTTATACTGTCTCTAAAATGAGGCTAATGATAGTATCTATCTTCGTGAGTAGTTGTAAGTAAATAAGTAAGTTACTATGAGCAAAACAAATATTCCAGTGCCTGGGAAAAGGCAAGAACTATATAAATGTTAGCTAACATAAGCTATTTTAAAAAAAAATTTCAGGTAATTTTATTAGCTCTAAAGTACATGAATCTCCAGATTAACTGCCCATATCAAGCTCCAGCATGGCCCCTGTGCCAAAAGTAATAGTTAATATTTACAGAGCGTTTACCCCACGTCAGCCACTGCTCTAAACACTTCTCATGTATTAAGTGGTTTTAACGCTTACAACATCCCCAAGGGGTGAACATTATTATCATCTTTATTTTTAAAGATTATTTTAACTTACGTATGAGACCTTAACAGTGGTTGAGTAATTAGCTCAAGATTACATAAAACTGTGATTTGATCCCAATAATTCTTTTTTTATATAAGCTATTTTTATTCAACAAATTAATGCCTACAGTGTAGACTACTGGGGTAGATGCTGGAATCCAGGGATTGAGGAATGAATGAGAGGGAAGTGGAGACATTGAATGCAGATTTTTCTTTCCATAAATTCATAAAACATGTAGAAGTTTATCTAATATATAAATAGCTAAAGAGAACTGTGGGGTCAGTTCAAGGATTACACTGCCTTTCTTAACCCGGATTCCCTGAAAAATTCGTCAGCCCTTCCTTTTTGGTTCCCATGCAGACTTCTACCATGAAACCTAAGAGACTTTCATAAAAACATGTTTGTTTTCGTTATTTGCCCATGTGTTTAATATCCACAACACAAGTCTTTTCCCCCGTCCCAGAATTCAGGCTCTTTGAGCGCTGGGACTCTGTCTTATTTGTCATTATTTTGTCGTTTATTGTACTTAATACTGAAATGTGAAGTAAACAGAAGAATTTTGTTTAAAAAAGTTAAGTTTGGATTTTGGAGCGTTCTGGCTTTCGAATTTTCCGATGAACGGTGCTCCACCTGTACTGATCACAGATTCAGTTCTAGCGTCCAAGTTAGAGGGAAGTGCTCACGTGCTCTGAATCCCTGGCCTGAGCAAGCGTAGAAATGCTTCTGTGAGACGTTTCCTCTGCGAGGTCTAACGCTGGCTGCTGTGTCCCTCCTCAGAATCTGTCACTGCGAAGGGGATGAAGAAAGCCCCCTGATCACACCCTGCCGCTGCACGGGGACCCTGCGCTTCGTCCATCAGTCCTGCCTCCACCAGTGGATCAAGAGCTCGGACACGCGCTGCTGCGAGCTCTGCAAGTATGACTTCGTGATGGAGACCAAGCTCAAGCCCCTCCGGAAGGTACGGCGGCCCCGGGGACTGCTTTGGGAGGGAGAGTTTGCACGGCAGGCTTGTTTTAAAAATCCATTTTCTTGGCGAGACGCGGTGGTTCACGCCTGTAAAAGCAAAACAAAGATTCCAGTGCCTGGAAAAAGGCAGGAACTATATAAATGGTGGCCAGCATTTAGTTACCAGCACTCTGGGAGGTCGAGGCAGGAGGATCCCTTCCTTCAGCCCCGGAGTTCCAGACCAGCCTGTGCAAGAGGGAGACCGCCATCTCTACTAAAAATAGAAAAACCAGCGGGGAGTTGTGCCCGGATCCTGTAGATCCAGCTACTCTGGAGGCTGAGGCAAGAGGTTCGCCTGAGCCTGGGAGTTTGAGGTTGCTGCCATGAGCCAAGCGGAGGTCACAGCACTCTAGCCTGGGCAATAGAGTAAGACTCTGTCCCAGAAAAAAAACAAAAAACCATTTTCTTCTGCAATAAGATTCTTCTAACACACCAATATCCACAAAGGGTAGGTGGCCCGTGTACAATGCACAAAATGCAGCCAAGTCATTACAGAGTGTCCTTCCTTTTTTATATTCCAGGGCCTCTGATTTATCTATCACTCCACAATCTCAAAACAATGCATGTGTGTATATAAATGCATATAGAGAGACATATAAACACATATTTGAATATATATGCAAACAATACTTGCAAATCAACGTAATTTAATTGATGAGAACTGAGACAGCATTGTATTATACCTACTAAAGTCAATTCTTTTTTTTTTTTTTTTTGAGACAGAGTCTCACTATGTCACCCTTGGTAGAGTGCAATGACGTCACAGCTCACAGCAACCTCAAACTCTTGGGCTTAAGCATTCTCTTGCCTTAGCCTCCCAAGTAATCAGGACTACAGACGCCTGTCAGAACACTCGGCTATTTTGTTGTTGCTGTTGTTGTCGCAGTTGTCGTTGCTGGTTTTAACCTGCCACTCTTGGTACAGGTGGCTGGCACATTAACCACTATGCTAAGGGCACCTCCCACTAAGGTCAATTCTTAAGAAGGTAAATTACATTCATTAATATGAACTAATCTAATTTCTTGAAAGGCATTGGATAATTTCTATTAAGGTGTGGACTATTTTTCATGTTTGCTTTTTGGGGATTGGTTTGATGGTTCATGTATAATTACAGTCAGTAGAAAGAAAAATATTTTCCACATTATGCGTGAGGCTGTGAGGAAGAGGTAAATATATTTTTGTCTATAAAGTCTATCTTCAAGTTCCTCATTTATGTTATATTTTTTTCTAAAGCATGAAGGTAAGATTATGAGTCAAATATAAAGTTAGCATCTCATGCAAAGCCACCAAAGGACAACTTGTAAAGGATAAAAACAAACAAGGACAATGCACTTTGGATTTTAGCACGTTGTAACTCGTTCTTTTTTTAGCCTAACCACAGCCTTGCATACATGTATGAATGCCTCTATTTCCAAGGGAAGGATAGAGAGACAGTAACTTAAATAATGAATCAGCCTAGAGCTTCTCTTTTATTTACATTAAATGCAAAGCAAAAGTGATAGAAAGAACATTGCTTGGGAATAAGTATGGGTTCCAGAATGAGCAGAGGCAAAAAGTAAACAAGAACATTCTAGTAGGCATCTGATTGATGACTGGCCATTGCAATTCCTCATTAATTCTGTAAATTACGGAAAGGAAGAATAACATCCACTGCCTTTGTGGTTGCCTTGATTTTAAAAATATGAAAATGGTTTCTAGACGTCAAAAATGATGCACAAGATGCCTTTAGGATGTGTGTTCCTTTTTTTGACCTAAGTCAAAAAGGCCCCTCCAGGGCCAAGAGCAATCAGTGCTAGTCCCCAGAATGGACCTGCATTCCAGGCCCTTTGTTTTGTCCGCTGCACAGAGGCTGTACGCTGTGTCTGGAGCAGTTAAGTGACACACTGTGATCCCTAATTCCCTCAATTTCTCTCTTTACCCCTTTAGGATCTACAAATTATCTCATGGCACTTTATACTGCTTCATTTTCCCCATCCTATGTCTATGTGAAATTTTCATTTAAGTTTTGTCAAACATAATTATTTCAATTTGAAAGCAACAATTTAGGTAATAACATATACATATTTCTTCCTACCTTACAGTGTTTACCACTCCCTCCCCACCACTACCCATATATTATTGTGTGTAACAAACAAAACATCATGCTGGGAAGAAACTTGAAAAGTCCTTTTTTTATCTACAGCTTTGTAGAATCACCCCATAAATACAACTCTAATCCTTTCTTAACATTCTATTCCCAATAATTTGCAACCCTATCAAGAAATCCTTTCTTTCCTTCTTTTTTTATTAAATCATAACTGTGTACATGGGGAATAATGTGCTGATTTGATATACAATGGGGAAAGCTTACGTCTAACTTCTTAACATAACATCACCTCACTTACTTATTTGTTATGATAAGACATTTATACTCTACTCTTATTAGTTTTAAAAGGTACCATTGCCTTATACACATTAGGTGAGGTCCCACCAAATGCCCTCCCTCCCCCCGGCCTCCCACCACTCCTCTCCTCTCCTTCCTCTTCCCTCCTTTCTGGACTATAGTTTTGTTTTATCATTCGTATGAATGTATATGTGTTTATATATTGGTTTCATAAAAGTATTGAGTACATTGGATACTTTTTCTTCCATTCTTGATTTACTTTACTAAGAAGAATATGTTCCAGCTCCATCCAGGTATACATAAAAGATGTAAAGTCTCCATCTTTTTATAGCTGTGTAGTATTACATGGTGTAAATATACCACAATTTGTTAATTCATTCATCGGTTGAGGGGCACTTGGGCTGTTTCTGACTTGGCAATTATGAATTGGCCTCCAATAAACATTCTGTGCAAATGTCTGTGTCGTATGTAAAATGATTTTTGATCATCTTGGTATATACCTTGTAGAGGAATTGCAGGATCAAACGGCAGGTCTGCTTTTAGTTCATTGAGTGTTCTCTAAACAACTTCTTTCCGAAAAGGCCATATTAGCTTGCATTCCCACCAGCAGTGTAGAACTGTTCCCATCTCTCCACATCCACACCAACATCTGAAGTTTTGGGATTTTGTGATGTGGGTTAATCTTACTAGAGTTAGATGATATCTCAAAGTAGTTTTGATTTGCATTTCTCTGAGGATTAAAGATGATGAGCATTTTTTCATGTGTTTGTTGGGCATATGCTGGTCTTCTTGAGAGAAGCTTCTGTTCAAGTCTCTTGCCCATAAGGAAATGGAGTTATTTGTTCTTTTCCTATTGATTAATTTGAGTTCTCTGTAGATTCTAGTTATTAGACCTTTGCCGGAAACATAACCTGCAAATATCTTCTCCCATTCTGAAGGGTGTCTACTTGCTTTACTTACTATGCTCTTGGCCATGCAGAAGGTTTTTAGTTTAATCAGATCATAGTAATATACTTCTGGTGTTGCTTCAATTGTCAGTGGGAGTCCTACTCATAAAAAATTCTCCCAGGCCAATTTCTTCAAGCATTTTCCTTGCACTCTCTTCTAGTATTTTTATAGTATCATGTCTTAAGTTTAAATCTTCTATCCAGTGAGAATCGATTTTTATTAATGGTGAAAGGTAAGGGTCCAGTTTCAGTCTTCTACAGGTTGCCAGCCAGTTCATCCAGCACCATTTATTAAATAGGGAGGGAGTTTTTCCCCCACTGAATGTTTTTTGATAGTTTTGTCGAAGATCAAATGATGGTAAGTAGCTGGATTCATCTCTTGGTTCTCTATTTTGTTCCATATATCTACCTCTCTGTTTTTGTGCCAGTACCTGTTTTGATCAGTGTAGATGTATAGTATAGCCTGAAGTTTGGTAACATGATACTTCCTGATTTGTTTTGATCTCTGAGTAATGTCTTTGCTATTTGAGGTTTTTTTCTGATTACGTATAAAATAAGTACTATTTTTTCAAGATCTTTAAAGTATGACAATGGTGCTTTAATAAGGATTGCATTAAATCTGTAATTGCTTAGGGTGGTATGGACATTTTAATAATGTTGATTCTTCCCAGCCATGACCATGGTATGTTTATCCATTTGTTAAAATATTCTGCTATTGCTTTTCACAGAGTTTCATAATTCTCTTTATAAAAATCTTTCACATCCTTTATTAGGTAAATTCCAAAATATTTCATCTTCTTTTGTAATACTATAAAAGGAATAAAGTCCTTGACTATATTTTCAGCTTGACTATTGTTGGCATATATTAAAGCTATGATTTGTATGTATTGATTTTGTATCCTAAGACACTGCTGTATTTCTTGATCACTTCTAAGAGTTTTGTAGTTGAGGTGGGGTTTTCCAGGTATGAGATCATATCATACAGGAAGAGTGAGAGCTTAATCTCCTCTGACCCCATCTGGATTCCTTTGATCACCTTCTCTTGCTTGATTGCAATCGCTAAGACTTCCATTACATGTTGAATAGCAGCAAAGACAAAGGGCATCTTTGTCTAGTTCCAGATATGGGTAGAAACATTTTTAATTTTATTCCATTCAATATGATATTGGCTGTGGGTTTGCTGTAGATGGTTTTGATCAGTTTAAGAAATGTCCCACCTAAGCCTATTTTCTTAAGTTCTTTGATCATGAAAGGATGCTGGATATTATCAAAAGCTTTTTCTGCATCAATTGAGATGGTCTTTGTTTTTTATTTTATTTGTGTTATGTAGTATATTCATTGATTTATGTAGGAAATCCTTCCCCCCCCTCAACAAACTTGCTTATATAAAGGCAGCAAATACATCCATCTTTTTAAATATTCAAGATAATGAATATGCTGCTACAACCTACTATCTGTTGATTAATGAAATATTCCAATTTCCTTTTTAACAACATTTCCTTGATTGATTATAAATATTGGTTAGGATAGCATTTCAACATCCTTCACCTTGAATAGCACTTGTCTGTGTACCAGGGTGTTAGAATCTAATCCAGACATTGCTAACACCCTAATAATGTATAT